GAATCTTGATGTGAATGGAAGGGGAGAGGGAGTGGGAAAGGGGAGGGTTGCGGGTTGGAGGGACGTTATGGGGGGGAAGCCATTGTAATCCATAAGCTGTACTTTGGAAATTTATCTCACTAGGCTAATCCTCCGCCTTGCGGCTCCGGCACACCGGGTTCTAGTCCTGGTCGGGACATCAGATTCTGTCCCAGTTGCCCCTCTTCCAGGCCAGCTCTCTGCTGTGGCCAGGGAGTACAGTGGAGGATGGCCCAAGTCCTTGGGCCCTGCACCCCACGGGAGACCAGGAGAAGTACCTGGCTCCTGCCTTCGGATCAGCGCAGTGTGCCGGCCACAGCGCACCAGCTGCGGCAGCCATTGGAGGGTGAACCAATGGCAAAAGGAAGACCTTTCTCTCTCTGTCTCTCTCTCTCACTGTCCACTCTGCCTGTCAGAAAAAAAAATTAGGTTTGATGTTTAATTGATTAATTTTTTCTATAATTTTTTTTTATTTGACAGGTAGTTATAGACAGTGAGAGAGAGAGACAGAGAGAAAGGTCTTCCTTCCATTGGTTCACTCCCCAAATGGCCACTACGTTTATGCTGATCTGAAGCCAGGAGTCAGCTGCTTCTTCCTGGTGTCCCATGCGGATGCAGGGGCCCAAGCACTTGGGCCATCCTCCACTGCCCTCCCGGGCCACAGCAGAGAGATGGACTGGAAGAGGAGCAACTGGGACTAGAACCCAGAACCCATATGGGATGCTGGCACTGCAGGCGGAAGATTAACCAAGTGAGCCACGGCACCAGTCCTGAATTGATTAATTCTTTCACCAGACTTTGTACTTCCCTATCTCCTTGTCTCTATTATGGAAAATGTAACTAAACACCTTTCTGCAAAGTGATAGCCAGAGACTTTGGCAATGTCCAGATGGATTGGTCCACCAAAGGAAAAACAACAATAAGAAACAGATTTTTCCCTCTTGAAATCTGTATTTCTGCCTAGAGACTTTTGTTTTGTTTTCAGAGGCTCTCTTAATGATTGGTCATAGAATCTTGCTTACGTTTGTTAAAAATTCCTAGAAACAGATCATATAAAATCATCTTCTCTTTGAACCTGAGCTTTGTTTCTTTTTCCTGTTACCGCATACTTACTTCATTCTCCATGATTCCTCAAGGCTTAGAATATGATTTGACAGTCTTATCTGGAATTCTTTTAGAGCTTTTGGAAAGATTTCAAGCACATTTTGAAGAGTTAATTCTACTCTCTTACTCTGGACTTCAGGCCTCTTCACAAATATTGTGCGTTTGACAATCTAAAGACTATGCTAACTGGCAATGAAAAAGCCAATGGGAGTTAAATAGTTCTACCATTATTTTCATGAGTAATATGGCTCCTTCACCCCAGTCTGCGTACTTCTTCCTTGATCATTCAGAATAAAATAAACAGTACCCTGTAGTGATTAGATACATGTGCTTTAGAGTGTGCCTGCTTGCATTGGAGCCTTGGTTCTTGCCACTTATTAGCAGTGTGACCTCGAGTCACTTATTAAGTATGTGATCTTTTTGAGCCTTCCTACTGTGAGTAATAATAGCATTGATTTCATAGCACTCTTGTGGAGGTTACACAAGATAATGCCCCAAAGGCACTTAGCATAGTGCTGGGCACATTGTAATTGCTTAAAACCTGTAGTTCAACTACCTTGCTGAAAGA